GTTAATGATACAATATATTTTAAAAAATTTGGGTAAATTGCATTGACATTCCTGACATTTGATTTTATTACACGGACACCCTCTTAAGTTTTCAAAATTACACTAAGACCCCACAAAATGAAGGCCATTAACGACACAAACAAAAAGACCATTTTACCCTCACATTAACTATTCATCAAAATCCAATTCACATACACCCACACTCTCTCTCACGACGAATCAAACCCCCAACAACCATCTCTTTCTCTCTCTCTTTGTGAAGACGTATCAAACCCCCCTAACAACCGGTGTCAACATCCAGCGGCGTAACCACAACCGCCTATTTTCACCAGCACCACCATTGCAGAAGTTAGGGTTTTTGTTTTCTATCTTTCTCTCTTCTATCTCTCTGTGATCGATATCCTAGGTGGTAGAACCGGTAGTGATGGGTGGAATTTGCAGGTGGTGGTTATAAGTGGTGGTTGTAAGTGGATTTTGAATTCCTAACCTCTTCGATGTAGTGGTTGGTTGATGATGTGTTTGGTTCAGGTGATGGTTTCAATGGTGGTGGAGGCAGGGATGGTTTCAAAAGGTATGGGTTATGGTTTTAGTCTCTCTCTCTCTCTCTCTCTCTCTCTCTCTCTCTCTCTCTCTCTCTCTCTCTCAGTGCTACTGCTAGTGGTGGGTCTAGTTGGGTATAGAAGTTTTGGTGAGTTTGACTGGGTTTGGAAGTTTTGGTGGTTTTATGTGGTGAAATCGATGGTGATTGGTGGGTTTAGGTGGTGGAACCGGTGGTGAAATCAGTGGTGATGGGTGAGTTTAGGTGGTGGACTGGTGGTGATGGGTGATAGGAGTAAGAATTAATGTAATTAGATAAATAATGAATAAAAAGAAAATTAATATGCTACAATTTGATAGGTAATTATTTAGATTTTTTTTAAAAAATGATTAATTTTTAAACTATAGTAAACATTTCAGTGTAAAATTTTAAATTTTAATTTATATTTGAAATATATGGATTAAAAAAAATAAATGAAAGGTTGGATAAATTTGTAAGATAAGAAAAATATTTATTTGAATTCTTAAACTTAAATTTGGACTGTATTTTTGGTATTTTAGGAATTATTGTTGATGACATCAGGTTTGACTGTGAATAATTCTAACGTACGTTAGTTAGAAGGGGTATGATTGTTACAAATATTAAATATAAAGGGAGTTCAATGTTATTTTTAAATGTGAAAGGGTATCTGCGTAATAAAATCAAATATCAAATGGTGTCATTATAATTTACCCTAAAAGTATTCGATAGGTCCTATTTTTCCTTGAGAAGAAGAATGAGAAAGTTAAATGAGCACAAAAAAGTTAAGACGTGTGACTAAAAAGTTTTGTGGTCCACGATGCAGATGGTGTGAGAAAGCGTAAAAAAGTTAAGAGACTTAATTTATTGCAATTTTTGGATTTATTATAGATCTTATTAAATATTAGAATTTAGTATTGATGTAATGATTTTTATGAAGGTACGTTATTATGTCAGTAAATTAAATCAAATTTTTAGGTTAAATCAAAAGATAAATAAATTTAAAAAAGAGTAATGTTATTTGGACCTAAAAATTGACTTAATAAATTATTATCCTTAAATAATTAGTGGTTCTTAATAAATATTAAAATTCACTATTAAATCAATGATAAATATAACAGTCATACAATAAAGTCAATTTTTTAAATTAATTTTTTAAATCTACATATAATTTTTTTATCTAATGATATTTTTTATTTTGTCAAGAACATGTATTTTAGGGGTGAAAAGTTCAAGCCCATTCTGCCTCTCTCACCCCCAAATATATATACATATACATGCATACACGTGTAACCGCGTTTCAAGTTTTATCATTTGACTAAAGCAACGTTGACAAAACATCATGATCAGACAAATTTGGTAACACCTTGTTTTGAACAAATCACAAGTGTCACATCAGAACAGCCATGAAGGCAAACCACACTCAACAAACTATATTATATTGGGCAGGTCAAACTTGCAGCATTGGGCTGAACAACACTATGGTTTGGCCTGGGTCTTTGTCTAACCTTTTGAGTAAATATTAATTAGGTGTACAAATGCATACAAGACTCTGATTCGAGATTGTAATCAACTTTTAAACAATTTAGTCGACTTCAATTCGTTAATTTTTATCTCAAGTTTCGTCTCAGTTTATTTAATCAAACGGATCGAACTTAAACTTGTGTTCAAGTTTCCAATTCAAATCTTCACTCGTGTTCATATACATATACGTAAATGATAAAATATGATAAAATATAAATTTAAGTGTCTTAAAAAATATATTAACTACAAATTAATTAAATATGAAATAATTAAATATATAATAAAAATGAGTGATGTGATGTTTTTAAGGAAAAAATATATAAATTATTAAATATATGATAGAAATAAGTGATGCAATTTGACATTTGAATCTGACAAAAAGATGATGGATGAGATAAGTGATTGATGTGGTTTTGAGGGAAAAAATATGATTGGAACGAAATTCAAACACACTCATATTTTATTATATATATATATATATATTCATCATATAGATTTACTAATTATTGATTGTGCCTGAAAGCACAGAGTAATAAAAAATAATAAATAATAAACATATTTTTATTTATATCTAAAATCAAATCACAAACATAAAAAAAAAATAAAAAAAATTAAGCATCAATTTATAGTGGGGGGTAAGAGATGGTGAGCGACAGTGGGGGTGGTAGGAGACGGTAATAATTGTGGTGGGTGACAATGACCGGGGTGGAGGCAAGGGCAGCGGTGGCGGTGGTGGTAGAGGTATTAATGAGACGATTTCAAATATTATTTTTTAAAATTATATTAACTTAAAAAAGTAATTTCAAACACACCCTTAGGGCCTGTTTTTCTTATTAAATTTAGAGTATTAATATTAGCTGTTAGAGTAATTTTAAAGTAAAATTTAAAGTGATTTTAACCGCGAATAACAAAAGGTATTTTGTTTAACTTTAAAAATTTAAATTGTAATCTATTTTATTATATAGATTTGTAATCACAGTTACAAATAACACATGGATTATGTTACCCTGAAGAATTATTTGATAGTAGACCCATTTTAAAAAGTCACTTAGATTAAATTGTGTCGACTTTTTAAGGTTATCCCTTGATCTATCTTACATGTAACTCAACCCAAAGGACTAAACTTGAATGAGCAATGTTATATGAACTTAAAATGTGAAATTAATTAATCACTATTGTTAATTGTATTGTGGGTCTTAGTATTTATTGAGATTCATTACCTATTCAATAATAATGATTAATCAAATCTATATTTTAAGTCCAAATAACATTTTTCAACTCAAAATACCTCTTATAAATTTGCCTCTCTTTCTTAGCTTTTTTTATTTTTTGAAATTGCTTTCTTAGCTTTTTGGAAGCATGAATAATTTCTTAGCTTTCTTGCTTTCTTACCTCTTATAAATTTGCCTCTCTTTCAATTTTGTGTAAAATTACTCTAAAGATTAAAGTAGTGTTTGACATAACTTCTAAAATCGTAAGTGTTCATGGCATTTGGTAGACATACCAAACGTATTTTTTATTTTAATTAAATTCCTGTTAAATTTTAGGTGTGATTGGTTTTTGGTTATAAATTGATATTCACAATTAAATTGTCCAAAATTAATTATTGCAGATGTCACCTCACAATAATTGTGATAGAGAAAATACAGATTTAAATTGAATGGATCCAAAATGCTATTATTGCATGAATAGGATTATAAAATTTCTGATTTTGATCCATCAACAATATTTAAGGAGTACTTGGAATGTCAGTTGTTTATTCTTTTTTGGCCTAATAACAAAAGTATTCATGCTATAGCCCACTTCATCTAACTTAATCTGTTATTTTTATACTATTACATTATTTGGATATTAAATTAATTTAAAAATAAAACTATTTTTCAAAAAAAAAAAACGCTTGAATCAAGGTGCATTAAATATAAATTGAAAATAAAATCACTTTTCAAAAAAAAAAACGCATGAATCAAGGTGCATTAAAGATAATTCAAAATTTAAATAAGAGATTTAACAACAAATATATATATATATGTGTGTGTGTGTGTGTGCGTGTGTGTATAAATAAGTATATATATTCGTATATATATGTTAACAAATACACATGAATCAAATGTACATTAAATACGTGTTTATATATATTAACAAACACACATAAATTAATGTGAATTAAAAATAAGAGATTTTGAATTAAATGACCCTAAAATGGGCATTTATGTTTTTTTAACTTACATTTTGTTTTATGTAGTTTTTACCAAATAAATCTAATTAGGTGTACCGAGTTCCAAAGAACCCCTTTAGTATATAATCACTCCAATCCAGTATTAGTTAATAAGCAGGATCTTTATTGGTTAAAGATGAATGGTCAGCCGAGTAAAGGAATTAACCCAAAAAAAAAAAAATAGTAGAGTGAATCTAGTATTAGTCAATTTTGCCACCATTGTGGCTTCATGTCGGCTATGTCTTCTATCACCGACTCAGAAAAAGCAGGAAAGCGGCTTGCAGCTTCCAGCTTCCTCACTGAAACGAACCCTATGAATTCACACCAAAGCCTTTGACTCAATCAAATCCATTCCTTCACAAAATCGAAACATTACTTTACTTCCACTCACCTCTAGTAAAAATATAAATAGAGAGAACAAATCCAAATTATCAAACCCACAAAAATATAAACCAAACACACCCTTACATTTCTTAAAGATAGAGGGTGGCCGAGGGACCGACTCGATGGCGGCGCTTAGTTTATTTTCAGATCTCTCAACTTGCCTATATAACGGTCGACTCAAGAAACTCAAAGGGTACTTGTCAACCTTGTTGAACAAGACTTCTATTCATTAGATATTCAAATCTCTCCTCTACTTCTTTTTTTTTTTTGGGTGGGATAATTGCTTTGTTTTTTGCCATAATCTTCTGTATATAGAGTTTCATGTGTGGGTTCAAGGTGGCGAATTTTAGGGAGTATTCCGGGAAGAGTGTGCGGCGGAGGAGGGGTGAGGAGAGAGAAAGTGATGGGTTAAATGAAGGTGGAAATATGTTGGAGTCTGTGTTTTCTGGGATTAATAGAGAGCAGGAGATGTCGGCAATGGTGTCGGCTCTGACATATGTGGTGGCCGGTGAGGATTTGGTTAGTCATAGAGAGGTGGGAGGTGGTGGTGGCGGCGGTGATGGTGGTGCATCAAGTGGTAGTTCTGGTTCTGCTGGGGCTTGTTCTTCGTCTTCTGCTGCTTTCTTTGTTCATGGAGAGAAAAGAGGACGTGAAGCTGAGGGTGGTAGTGTGCAGTATTCTGAATCAGGTGGATTGGTTTTTAGAGCACACACCGACTCCCTTGGAGGTAGGATTTGAACCAAATGATTCTGTCTCTCCCTCTCTCTCTCTCGTGCTATCGTTGTTTCTTATGTTCTTTTTGCATACGGACCAATATTATAAATTTTCAATAAATTAGTGTAATTATAAAACTTTGATAGATTGTCTGTAAATAATTTATTCTCTATTAAATTATAATAAGATCAAGGTATCATTCTCATATGTCATTTTAGTATTGTAAGTCACATGTGACATATAATCAAGGTAACTTTGGATTTGCCACATCTAGGTGAATAGTATCATTTGAATATGCACTTCTTTTCCTTACTAGACACATTTTATAAAAATGAGTTGTTTTCCAATAGCCATGTATGATTTAATAAAAATTTGAAAAAGTGCATTATAGGAGTCCGAAAACGGTGTAATGAATCTTACACAATGTGTTCATATATATATATATATATATATATATGTGCTGGTTATAATTTGTGCTTGAAGGCACGATGAAACATAAAATTTGAATGTCCAAAAAATTAATCACACAATATTAAATAATAATTTTTCTTTCTTTAATTTATTTGATTACATTATTTAAATTTTATTTGTATTCATTATTTTTTAAAAAATATCCACAAAAATACGTAATTCGATAAATTTTCTCAACATGTGTATACTGTCGTATATAAATAATGTCTGAAGTAAAAATTATGTTAAACAACAAATTAATAGAAATAGGTGATGAGATGATTTTGGGAAAAAAATATGTATGGAATAAAATTTCAAACACCTAACTGTTTTATTTTATATAAATATATATCAACACTCTTTATCATTGAAGCTCTATAGAAAATCAAATATTTATAGTGTTACCCCATATTTGTATTACATATCAAAACCCGTATTACTTTGAAATTAAATAGAGCAATGCTATTGAGACCTAAATTACTGACCTAATTTGCTGACCTAATTCACTATGATCTTTGGATTGACTGTGGGCTCCATCAATCATTAGAATTTGGTGTTAATCCAATGATTCAAATAAAATCACGTCATTAAGCTAGCAACGTAACATTTTTAAGTCCAAATAATATTTTCCGTAAAATAAACCCTATTATTAGCTAGAGTAGTAGATTCTCTAATTCACTGCTGTTATTAAATTAATGATGAGCATTAATATTTAACAGAATTTATTTTGAATCCTTGGACAACAGTGGATTAGATCAAACAAAGTAACCCCTATTATTAGATAATGGAAATTTTTTTTTTTTATATCTTCCTTGACAGAAGGCTTGCCTTCAAGCACAAGAACAACAAGAACAGCACCAACAGAAACAGCATACACATATGATAACAGTGAGTCCTCTGTTGGAGGAGCAGAGCCAAGAAGAAGATACAGAGGAGTGAGACAAAGGCCATGGGGCAAATGGGCAGCTGAGATCAGAGACCCATACAAGGCTGCTAGGGTTTGGTTAGGCACATTTGACACGGCCGAGGCAGCTGCTAGAGCTTATGATGTTGCAGCTCTCAGGTTCAGAGGCAACAAAGCCAAACTCAACTTCCCTGAAAATGTCCGGCTTCGTCAATCTCCGGCGACCCAGTTGACCATTTCCGATTCTCCCAACACCCTTTTCTCCGTTTCAACTTCGCCTGAGCCGATTGTTCACACCAGAGCACCTTATTATATGTACCAGGAACCTGAGGCTTCCGGGGATTATATGAACTTCTACTCTCCGATACCTGTGAATTCGATTGATTTTCAGGGACAACCCATGAGTTTGTTGGACCAATTGCTATTGTCATCTTCAATGAATTCTAGTTTGCAGTCTTCGTCGTCCTCTTCAGTTGGGTGCAGTAATACAGGATCGCCTTCTTCAACTTCACCTACTTTTCCTCTGTTTTTTCCTGCTCAGCCACAGGTTTTTCCGGCGCCGGCCACCAGTCAGGGTGGCGGAGCTGAGTTTTCTGGGATGTCGGGGTCAGGTTCCGGCCATCAGCCTTCTTCTACAGGATGATTTTGCTTTGATTTATATTTTCCTGTTTTATGTCTATATTGATTAGTAGTTTGTCTGCCATGTGTTTGATGAAATTTGGTACTGAAGTATTTTTGAGATTTTGCACCGTTTCTCATGAACTTTTGAATGGATATTGAGGGAAACAAAGAGCTTATGTCAAGTGTTGAATTGCATTTTCAACCATTAATCTACACTGTAACAAGTTAGACTAATACAAAAATGCGTACGTGACAATTCAATACAAGATCTGTGAAGCTGACACAAAACTAGCACAAAGTTAGCAGACCATCAGCCTTCTACTTCAGGATAATTTCTACTCTTATTTTCACTCTCTTGTGTTAGTTGGATATTGCTTTTGTTGTTTGTCTGCCATGCATTTGATGGAAACGTAATATAGGCTTATCAAATTTTCTTACCAAATCTCAATCCAAAATGATGTGACATAGTTTTTTACCATTAAAGTCTCATTAATATTCAATGACAGAGATTGTGTCATATCATTTGAAATGAATGATTTGATAAGAAAATTTAATAAGTATAACATTTTTCTTGATAGAATTTGGTGCTGAAGTATTCTGAGATTTGGTGAATGGATATAGAGAGAAACAAAGAGCTTATGTGAAGTTTTGAATTTGCATTTTCAACCATAAGTCTTCCCTCTAACAATTTAGCCTAATCCAAAAACGAAATAGATATTTATTGTTGTCAACATCATATATTGAGAGAGCGCATTGAATTAGACCTGCCCTTCCAATCTTTGTACTGATAAAAAAAATTCAAAACAAGGCAAAAAATAACTCTTATGACTAATCAGCTATGCAATTACATTGATTGGAAGCAGTTTTTTTTTTTTTAATTTTCTTAAATGGTAAATGATTTATCGTGCATCGGTTAGAGATCCATCGATAAAGGATTTGGAATTGGATAAACGTAATCACTTATCATTAATAAAAACAAAAATAAATCAATGATTAAAAATCGAATTTTTTTTATGTTAGGAATGCTTTGAAGTTAAAATTTTGCTTGAATTAACCGAATATATGTTTGGAAATTAAATATCATAATTGCATTTTGTTTTCACCAAAATGACGGTTTTGTTTGTGTTGGAAATTGAAGGGTGATAAAAAAAAAATGTGTACAGAATGTTTGAAATTAAAATTTTAATTTTTTTTTCATTTTTCGTGTTTTCATTTCGTATTTAAAAATATATTTAGAACGTTTTTATTTTCAAGCTAACTGATATTATTTGCCAAAACAACAACTTGATCTTTAGCTAGTAAGCTCCAATGGTAAATGATTGAATTTGACCTAACCAACTTATAGAAGGAAAGAGACAGAAACGGTAAGGTATTGTTGAATGGTCGTATGGTGACTAAATTCAAGGGATAGGATAGAACTATGGTAACGCTGGTGCCATAGTAACATTAATTTATGTTTGTGGGTTTTTCTTTAATTGATTAGTAGATATTAATTATAAAATGAAAATTTTCAGTCATATCTCTTCTTGTTTATCATATTTTCAAAGACACCTTTTATTTTTTAAATCTTCATTGACACCCTTGTTAAATTAAAGATGTTAATTAGAATACAACTTTATTAAATTGCTTATGATATATTTTAGTAAAAACTCTCAATAGAATTTTAATCGGTTGAATTTTAATACATAAGAAAATATAAATTTTGATTGATTTAAATTTTAATCAACTTGAATCAAATTTTAATAAATAAAAATATATAAATTTTAATCGACTTAAAGACAATTTTAATCGGGGCTAGTAGCTCAAATAGAGTTCAAATCAGCTTGAATTTTAATACATAAAAAAACTTTTACTAAGGTCAAATTTTAATATATATAAAAATAAAATTTAATCAATTCGAATCGAATCAAATTTTAATATGTAGAAAAAAATAATTTTAATCAACTCAATTTAATATGTAAAAAAAGAAATTTTAATTAGCTTGAATTTTAATCGAATTTTATATAGAAAGATTGTTTGAAATTTATATAGGGTTAATTTTTGGTATTTTAAGTAATTTATTTTTATTATAAATGGTGATTTAATAGCAAAGGGTGTTAGTGATGTCTAAATATAAACTAAAAAAAGTTGTCAATGATGTTTTTGATAATAGATATTGTCCTTAAAGATATAGTAAACTAGAAATGGTATAGTTGAAAATTTTCCATTATAAAATAATAAATTTATGTATGACATTTTTATTAGATAAAACATTAGAGGAATGGTATAAATTGGACCCACAATCAAGATTTTCAATGGGCTCATTAGGAGTTTTTTTTTTTTTTGTGCAAAACAGATATTTGAAAAGTGAAATGAAAAAGTCAAAGTTGAAACTCTTAAAAAAATTTAGAGTTGCGCAAAAAATTCCGATTTTTTCTTGGAAGTCATTGAATAAACTCTATTTTTTAACTTTTTCTTAGTACTGATAAAAGTTACTAAAATAGATTAATAATAACTAGTCTAAGCAGACCAGACTTCTTTTCCTCTAAAACAAAAAAAAAAAAAAGTTTTAAACCGGCTCTAAACAAGCCCAATGTGTTACACATATATCCAGTCTTAACTCTTAATTTTATTTATAAGCATTTCCATCAATCATAAAAATAATAAAAAAATACACAAACACCTTTCTATTGAAACACAATTTTTTCTATACTGGGCTTTGGTTAAAAAACACTACATTCTTTGTGGTCTCATTAAGGAGGTTTTGAGCAGTATGATTGAAAGGATGTTTGTCTGTCTATTAATGAATTATCGGATTGCTTTAGCCAATAGGGCGTAGAACCGAACCTTTGTCACGGAATTTTATGCAACTTATATTTTTTCCCCCAAAACTCTTCAATGTTTTTTACTCGTATTTTCCATTTGACCCTTCACTTGGAAGTTTCTTACCGTCAACATTTAGAAGTTTCAAACTCTGTCATAATGCCATGAGTTGCAAACCTACAGGTAAAAACAAGTTTTTGCTGAAAACCGAAAAGCTACACTACACTCGACCACCCAAAAACGCATGTGTTACGACTTCCAAAATTCAAACAGTTTTTTTTATTATTATTAAACAGAAAAACTGGGGAAAAACAAGGGTACCGAACAGGTTAGGGAAAATCTAGCAACGCATGCTCATGTGGCTGACAGGAGTTTTCTAGACGGGCAGGAGCCTTGTACACTAGGTACTGACTTTTTTTTAAGTAACATATATTCAGTTGAAAGTGTTGGGACACATCAAAATGCTAGTCAAAACTAAAATAAGGAGTAGAATCACTGAAAGACGGTGGAGGAAGGTAAAACTGATAGAAATAATATCATGCATGTTTTTGCCGTGACTCTTCAAGTGCCCAACAAGCACTTGCAATGCATGCCGTGTTTTTTTACCCAGAAAACTCACTATTGAATGCTGGGTAATACTCTCCTGAGATATACTTATGCTACTGTCAGGATGCAATTCCCTGTTCTTTCCATTGCCATTCCCACGAGCCGGGTAAGTCTATATTTCAGCCAGCTGAACATCACTACTAAAAAATTCTAATTTGTGACTAAAAACTAAAACATTGCAGACCAAACTCATGATCAACCTTTAAACCCAATACCTACATTTGGACCAAGGGTGCTATTGCACATTACAAGTCACCAACTTTTCAAAGCACAACATTTTGAAAGCAAAATATAATCCATATCCTGATTCATAAACAATTGTTGTGTCCGTGTCTGAATACACAAGCAACATAGACCTGATGAGTCCATGTCACAACATAGGTATATTGTTCACAATGAATGAATCATGAAAATCATATATAAGTCACAAAAGACGAAAGGCAGAAACCATGTGAATGTAAGAGATCTAAGGATGGAAGAAGCAAGCAAAGCACATAATCTCTTCCTCCGTTACAAGAAAAGCGCGTTTTGGTGCCAGCAGTTGGTGCTCAAAACGAATAAAACACAGGCCTATCTGCAAAAGATTGATAAAGGGCACCAGTTGTCATCTAAACAAAATTTAATTTCAGTTCATTAAAATTTTCAGATAAAACTTTGTTAATAAGCAGGAAATAAAACTTTGTTAAAACTTTGTTAATTTCAGATAAAAGAATTTACACATGCACTGTACAAATGAGGCCAACAGATATTATGTACAACTAGATCGCCATTATAGATTTTTTGCATTTGAGTTAATGTGTTTGTGCTAATAAGACACAAGTTGTGGATAGTCCAACTCTACCTGCAGTTGGTCACATCAGCATTTTAAACTTTCAAGGCAGCTTTGTGAACCATCATTTCCTTGTGAATTTGGTGGCAGCTCTTCTCCACAAGGTCAAGCAGCTTCTCCAAGTTCATGGCCCATGAGTTTAAAATATCATTACTGTCCTTTGCACTCTGGAAACAGATAATACCCATTGGCCTGTCAATCTTTGCCACCAGCGCTTTGGATACAACCATATCTGAAAGATGCTTTTCAGCTTCCTGAGATGGGAAAGTGCATTAAAGATGTAAAATTTTACGAAAACAATAATTGGTCAATTACAGAAACACCAATGACAATGAGTGCAAAGAAAAAATTGGAAATAAGAATCTGGCCTAAAAAAATTAGTCCAGCATAAATAACAACTGAACAGTTGATTCTGTGAACATGAGAGCATACCTTTTACATACAATATACATGAGCTAAGCATTGAAAAGTGCTAGTAAACAATGCCTTTGAGATCTTTTTTTTTCAACTTCTATAGTTGTTTCATAATATTTTGCTATCAGATATTTATCCTTCCATTGAAAATTCACATGCATCAGTCGGGTCATAGATATGATAATCAATAGATTTAGTACAGTACATGATAGGCCAAGGCATGTGGGCGGTGAATCGGCTTGAAAGTGAATGTCGCCAAAAACTGGCGGAATGCTCTCGAAACCAATTCACTTGAGTGAGACAGAGGAGAGTGAAATTTCGTGTGTAGGGGTGAAATCCGGAGATATTTCGTGTAGGGGTGAAATCCAGAGATCTACGAAGGAACGCCAAAAGCAAAGGCAGCTCTCTGGGTCCTTATCGACGCTGGGGTGCAAAAGCATGGGGAGCGAACACGATTACATACCTTGGTAGTTCATGCTGTAAACGATGAGTGTTCGCCCTTGGTCTACGCGGATCAGGAGCCCAGCTAATGCGTATATACTCTTCTAAAAATTCAGTGGATTTATTTGACTCCCACACAACCATGTAACTCCATGATTAGAGTGAATAGTTGGACGACAGATTTAAGTTTACTTTCCTATCAAAAAATGATAGATTTAAGTTCACTTAAACACATGCTTACTTGGGTGCAGGAGAGGGAGAGGGAGAGGGAGAGAGAGAGTCATACATCTCGGCAACAGGCTGGCACACAATCAAAGGGTGATCCCCAAAGGTGAAGTCTAGAAATATAAATAACCTGACTCACACATCTCAGGTCACATAAAATGTCCTCTCTGGTATATTAGTGAGCTTTATACATCACAAACAAACATATCCCTTGGATATTCATGTGGATCAGTCATATTCTCTCTATTACCCCCCACCCCCCCCTTTTTTCCTCCTCTCCTCCTAGACATATTGTGAAGAAACAATACTATGCATTGAAAGAGAAATAAAGCTTCTTTTGATCTTTTCTTATCAAACAAGCCAAGCATCTTTGCACAACAGTCTAGATTCTAATGCAAATGAAACCAGTTTCAAATTTCAGTAAATCAGTCAGAAATACGAGTTAAAATTTTAATTAAGATGTGTAACTAAAAACACCAATTTCAATTGGTTCATGAAAAATAAGATGGCACAATGCCCAACAAGTACTTTTCGCAAGAAGTTACTAGACGATATCATCTTATTGAATCATATTATAAATGACACGTCATTAGCAAACCTGAATACTGAGACACAGCAGATCCGCAAGTCTATTCAAGGTAATCCGTGAGTAATACTTCGAGACGACGAGGATGTTCTGCAAACAAGGATGTTTCATGAATGAATGATTGCCAATTAACTCAAAATATAAAAACAACAATATTAATAGCACGTGTAAAGGAAGATTACATGTTCTATCACTCTTTCTCTAAGATCTTCTGCTGCTTTTGCACCTATAGCCCCACCAAGCATGTTCTTTTCATTCTCAAACTCGTCCTTGAATGTATTCCACAAAAGTGACCACTGAATGACCTCCATGGTAATTAACTGCTTTAACAGCAGCCTGAAGAAAAGCAGCCTCGAAGGAATTAATGGCATACACTTAATAGCTATGGTTAAACAACCCCATTGCAGACAGAAACAAGAAAGGGACACCAAATATTATAAAAAGCAACCAAAAAGGGAACAAAATAAAACCTAAAATGAGGAATTTCTGACAGATTCTTATCCTCCAAAGTAGAGTTCAGAAGGCTTGATTGCATAGGATCATGTGGTGACAAAACCAAGTACCAGCATATTTTCCTAAGGACCTGTATCAAAGAATGGAAAGAAGTTCAGCAGGATTGAGGAAGACATCCTCATATATTGGTATGCTATTTCAAATGTGACCATAGGTTTATGAACACATAGATGAAGGAGATTTTTTACTGGAATCCACCGAGCTGGGTCTTCCTTCACATAGAGGGTCTCATATATTGCCTTGTAACAACGGCAAATTTCAAGGTAATCATTGCTGTGCGAGTAGAATCTACAAAGATATGAATAAAACACATGAATTTGGCATGTATCTGACAGACATAGTATAAACAATAATTCACAAGGCTACCTTTTCAATGCTTTCATTTGTAAGACTTTCAACATATCTACATTGGGATGCTCAGGATGGACCATTATCAGTTCAAGTTTTCTTTGTTGTGTGTGTGTGTTTTGTTTTTTTTGGGGGGGGGGGGTTCATTTCACAACAACTTCACACGCAGCATGTTCATGATTGGTCCTGGTTTAGCATTAGCTGCTGAGTAAGTTACCAGGGCAAAAGTCCCTCAAATGGTTGTTGAGGAAGATGTATCCTCTTATTTTTCAGGTAAATTAAAAAATTTCGGGGTTGTGCCCTTTCACTGGGGTTGTGCCATTTATAATTGCTCTCTTACACTGGGGTTGTGCCCTTTCCCCAAATCAACCCCCCCCCCCAAAAAATAAATAAATAAATAAATAAAACTCCAAAAATAAAAAAAACCAATTGCCAACATGTTTATAATACTTAACAAAAAGTCCCTGCTATTCTGTATGCGAACCTCCACAAAGACTTCCAGTTTTAATGATCAAAGATTTAGAGTTCAAACTCCAGTAAGTCATGTCAATCTGCACAGACAGCTTTACAGATCACTATTGCTGCAGCTACACAAGTCTTTTTGAAAAGAATCATACTACTGGAAAATTTTTCTTAATAGTAATATAGGCAAAAAAGAAAACCAAAGTACATATAATCCAATGTATTATTGCTATTACTACTAGGGGTAGCAGTAATCTATATTAATGACAATCTTGCATTACTTTTCCCGGCTGTCGCTCACCCATAAGGTAAGACGCAGAACTAGGGAAAAAAGAGGAAGCAACAATCAAAAATTATCAACCCAATTGCATAAATCTGGGCCTAGCCAGATTCACAAGTGTTTAAGATCCTCTTCATATCAGACTAAATCTGTTAACTTTCATTTGGATTTACACATAAATCTTAATCTGATATTTTTGTTGTGTTTGGCAGCATGATTGAGGTCTTCAGAGTAACAATAGAAAATACATAGTTCCAATTTCATTTGCAGAGCCCAGTTCATGCTGCTAAACAATAACATGGATACAAGAAGATATTTTCCATCAAGAAAAACTTTAAATCTTGGGGCCAAATTAGGCATGATGCCATTGACTGGCACAAGAAGCTCGCAAACTAATAATATTAACCACACCTCATAGGCCCCAAAAACCATAAACAGGATTGATTCACAAAGAACATTAAATTTATGTAAAAAGATATAACATCAGTGATTTTCTTTTTGAAAGTTCAATTTCATCAAAATAATTTCAAAATTAAGCATAGATATGAATGAACACCATAACACAACCAGCAAGGCCCAAATAGGGCAATGATCAAAATTTCGTTTGGTGTATTCGATCACACACGAAACAAAAACATTTAGAAGACAATTCAAAAATAGAATAGCAAACAAATAAAAAGTTAGAGAAACATCGGCCGAAATATATAGGAACATTTTGAAACACCTAGAAATATTCTGAAATATTGTGAGAAACTTGTTAAAACATCTCGAAACACCTTATAACATTCCAAAACTTTGAAGCATTGGAATTTTGATTAAATTAATTATTTGTTTTGGTCTCCTTCAAACAGAAACGTTTTGGCCGTCTCAATTGGTCTGAAACAAAATTTTGATCTTTGCAAGGGAGAAACATTTTCAATTAGAGGTCTTACTATAATGCAACCACCAAAAAATATAAAGATCTTTTACCTAATGTTGACAATCGATTATTAAGTTACGTGATGGTTATTGTATAAAGGTGATAGTTGAATTTATTACATGAACTAACATGAGTTGCAATAAGCCGAACACCTTTTCTTTTTTGTTTTTTTTTTGGGGGCAGGCGGGCTAGGTTTTCGAAATCCTTCTTTGACCCAAGGTTTTTAGTGTGCTTTTCAAGTGAACTTTTTATGTGTATTCTTATACTTTGCACCCCTCCACAAAAAAAATAAAACACCCCCGGGGGTGGGAAAAAAAGTGCTAATATTTATTCCTAAAGCACTTACATAATATTTAGGTTTTCGAAATCCTTCTTTTGTTTTTTTGTTTTTTTTTTAGGGGGGGGTGGAGGGTGGGTTGGCCTAGGTTTTCAAAATCCTTCTTTGACCCAAGGTTTTCAGTGTGCTTTTCAAGTGAACATTTTATGTGTATTCTTATACTTTGCAACCCCCCCCCCCAAAAAAAAAAAAAAAAAACCCGGGGGTGGAAAAATATTGCAAATATTTATTCCTAAATCGCTTACATAATATTTAGAATGGTTGAATTTTTTTTATAACTCATTTAAATCAACTTCCGCATCCCGAAAGCGCTTACATAATACGTGCTTATTTGTATGCATGTCTATCTCATTTTGCTTGTTGTTTCTTCTGGTTTTTTTTTTAAGGGGGGAAGGGGGCATTAAAAAGCTATTTTGATCCTATCCAAATTGTTCTAGCAATGAAAGCCATGAGACCATAACAAAATCATGTACACACATCTACGAGGTAGGAAAATATGGGCAAAAACTTTGCTTTAAGCTAAAGGTGACTTTCATTATTATTCAAGAAAACAAGTGTACATAATAGATCAATTTGCTGATAGAGCAATATTACAAACTCAATTATTTTATATACCATCAACAACTATCATCGAGTGAAGCTAATTATCCGGAAGTTTAATTTGTAAATGAAATGTTGTTTCATGATCGTCAAGCATACTAAGCATTATCTACTTAATTTTTAAGTTCAGTTACCACATGTATTTTTGTTAGTATGAAGAGATTGGGTGGGCCAGGTAATTTCTTTTTTGGAGCATTGGGCCATGTAATGTGATTCTTCCATAATCAAAACTAAAAATCCTTAACACTTGATTAACAATCCCCATTTAGATCTGTAGCTTTGGACGATATATTTGAAAATTCTTAGATCATGCCAATTAATGATGAAACTTGTAATAAAATGTCTAATGAAATAAGTATTTGACCCGCTAATTATGACTCTGTTGACAAGCTTCAGTCAATTCCAATTAATTCTAGTGCATTGGATGGCTCGGTAAGGTGATTACAAGTTCATTGCATACTGGAGTAGACAGGAATAGGGTTATATGCATTCCCATTATGGGAATGAGTCATTTGAGCATATTTAAATAGATACTATCTTTGAAAATTCCAATGCCATGTACTTTAACATAGAACTTTTCTAATTAACTCAGTAGTAGATATACAGTATGCCTATGTTGCCATTACATAATGTGTTCAAATGTGGTTGGTTTCCAAAAACAATACCTACATACCGTATCATTAATTCATAGTAGATCCGCTTCAACTCCAACAAGGATGGTATATCAGCAGGAGCCTCTTCTACAATATTTTCGCCTTCTTTGGGTTTTTTCTTTTCTTTAGTATCAGCATCAAAAACTCTAGGACTGATTTTTCTTGAGAGTATTTGAGCACGCACATAATCTTGGCGGTCTAAACACAGACGAACCTGAAAGTTTAGATTTCATGGTATCACATTTTTAACACAAAGATCCTGCATGTTAATTGGAAAGTCAGATAACATAAAAGAGAAAAGTGAGGCCTCATACTTGCTCAAGAATGAAAGCTATTTTTTCGGTTTTTGCCATTGCACCAAATGTTTCGACCTGTAAATCCATATCAATAAAAAAAGGTGTTACAAGAGGGAAATAACACCTCCATGCACAATTTGATTACAACTACACCAAAACAGAAATAAAAAGATGATGTAACTCATCACAAACTGACCGCAATTTCTTGCATCAAATCAGCAGCCTCAGCTATAAGCCCTTGTTCTTCCTTGATCTTTGCAAGTCTCTTGATCAAACGAGCCCTCTCAATCTCCACATATATCTACAAAATAACAGGACCAATTGAGAAAAGAACCAAAAGAAAAAGAGTGGGCATTATGTGCGTACGGCAACATACAGTATATCATGACAAGTATATGTTCACCTTTCCAGCAGAAACACTGTTAAGGGTTTTAATGAGCTCTATCCTAGTTTCAAGATCCGGTGTCTCATCAATGTATTGCATTGCCTGCTGGACCATCGCAGTTACGGCCTGAATGAAATCAGGAACCCCATGAAAAAAAATCAGCAAGCCAATTAAAACCAATTTACCATTAAAAAAATACCAACAAAAAAAAATCAGGTTCCTTTGTTACAAAGGTAGAAAGGAGAAACCCATTTCAAAGCATAAGTTGAATGGAAATGCCAAAAAAAAACTGTGACAGTGCTTTTAAAAAAAAATGGAAAACAACAAAACACGTATGATGAATGGCATACCCAGCAGCAACAACCAGATATAACTAAATGAAGTTTAAATAAGTGACTGTGTCACTGCTTAAATTCAAATGTGTGTGCACATCTCTTCCTATCCATCTAGGTTTACATACTGGTGTATATACTTTGTATGCACACAAAGATACCGAAACACATACATATAAGCAGGCACCTCACTGCAGGCATGTATGTAGGCATTACGCCATCCTAATTCTTTTTCAGTGTTTAACCCCATTTTCTCTTGATTTACATTGTTAACTACAATTTTTTACAAATAGGTAGCATCAATGTTATTAAAAGCGCAACTAGGTGATCTCCTAGGCAAGAAGCAAGCCCAAATCACCTAGAGTGGCCCGGGCGAAGAGAAGATTAAGCATCTAAGGCAAGTGCTCCTCGCTTAAACAAAAAGCGAAGAAGCAAACATTTTAGTAAATTTTTTAGTTTACTTTATGGATCTATTATGGGTTAGATTTGATCAAATGGACCAAAAAGTAGATACACCATAACAACAAATTGCCACTTAATCCACATATGTCTAACCCTAAAATTTCTTCAACAATACTAATTGAGAATTAGCGGCAGGTAAGGGCATCTCTAACCCTAACTCAAATTTAAATTTAAGTAAAAAAATCTAAAAAACTTGCCCTAACCCTTACTCAAACTTATACAAAATCAAGGGGACTCTTTTTTTTACTCAAATTAAGGGAGACTCAAATCCTTATCCAACTCTTTAATTGTGAGATCTCACCCTCTTTTAAAGATTCAATGGTCATCTTTTCTCTCATGTAATTATGGGTTTGCCCTCATTTAAATTTAAGTTTCTCCTTCTTTAAATTTGAGTTTGTGCATTGGAGCCCTTTGTATCAAATCAAGCTTTTTACTCAAATACTAACTTAAATTTGAGTCATGGTTGGAGATGCTTTAATAGGGGTGATACTCAAGCCGAGCCCAACAAGCTTGACTGTTCTCAAACTTGGGTTGCGTATTTGGGATGTTGGTCAGATTCGGCTCGGGCTCGAACCTTGAGCCCTATTTTAAGCTCAAGCACGGCTAGCTAACAAAATGGCATGCTCAAGCTCGGCTAGTTTGGCCTTGATTTTTCAAACGAGCTTGAATTTGAGTTTAGTCTCATGTAACTATTAATGCTAAACAATAAACACAAAATCCACCATTCTACTATTCCAATATCTAACCAAAATAAACAAACAAAGTTAATTACCATTTCACCAAAATTAACAAAAAACACATTCACAACATCCCAAGCATACTACAAACAACCACAATTCCACAAAGTTCTAATCCAATCAAAATAAACATACACTAAAACCACACTTACAAAAAGTAAAGCACCCTCCCTCTGGAGCTGGGATTGTGGGAGGAGTCGGTGATAGATAAAAGGTTTCGCAAAATGTGTGTTTGAGAGAGAGAGAGAGCTACTCGAGTTAGTGAGGAAGGAGACCAGAGAGGGTTATGCCATTCTAGTGGTGGACTAGTGTGGAGTTGCCAAGTGGGGTTGTGGGAAGAGTTGGCAATAGTGGCCAGTGGGTGATGTGTGTGATTGGAAAGGGTTTGTAGAGGGCGAAAATGACAAGGTCTGTAACAGAGAGAGAGAGGACTTAGGGATTTGATTTTTGGGGGGCCAAAGATATTTTTTGATTGAGCGAGTGAAGTGAGTTGTGGCTATGGTTTTTTTAGGGAAAAAAAGAACTACAAAAAATGGGAATTGCTAAAATCCGGGAGAATATTCTAGAAGGGTATATCAATTAGGGAAAAAATACAATACCAACTCAAACTCACAAATAGCTCAGGTTCGATTTAAAAATGAGCATAAAATTAGTTCAAATTCGACTCATTTTACAAAATGAGATAGCCCGAAAGAGCCAAAATCGAACCAAGCCCAAGCTATAGAGAAAAATAACGTGAGGGCGAAGTCGCGACACAAGGACCTTATTCACCTAGTTTCTTCTTCTTCTTCTTGATTCTTTCTTTCTTTCTTTTTTATTTCTTATTCTATAACAAACGATTTACTAATGCTTCCATAAAAAAGGTCGCTCCTCCTCCTCCTTTTTTCTTTCTTTCTTTCTTTCTTTCTTTCTTATTCTTCTTTTATGACAAAAGATTTAGTGCCACTTCTAAAAAAACAATCGCTTCTTTTGCATCAAACGATTTACTACTACTTGTAGTCACTAGAATAAATTCTTTTTCTTCTCTTCCAAAAACCAATTCACTACAAAGACCAGGTGCATGTACTTCTTCTCCTCTTCTTCTTTTTCTTTTAACTGAAGCGCTGTTTTTTCTAGACCTCTACTCTTGCCGGCTCAATGATTCATTGTTGGTGGAGCTTTGAATTGCTTCAAGTTTTTGCCCCTCTTCTGATATTTGGTTTTGACTTTTTTGCTTCAAATGTTATGATTTGGGATATTTTTGGTGGTTTTTTATATATTTATGTTTTTGTTGGAGTTAAGATTTGAAATATTATTAGTGTTTTTTGAATTTAAATGCTTATGCTTTTGATTGTCATACAGACTTGGATATTATTTGTGTTTGTTTCAATTTAAATGTTCATGATTTTGGTTGCATTTGAATATTTCGTACTTAAGAAGTTGGAACTTGATATTTAATAGTAACTAAAACTAAAATATTGTTCGCTTCTCGCTTGGGCCTTCGAAGACTTGAGTGCTTCAGTGCATTTTACGCCTTAAATAACACTGGGTAACATACTACAACAAAACTAGTGCAGTCATCTATTGATCATAAACGTATACTTTGTCTAAGTCTCCAATAACAAGTAATCAATCCCAACAATTGCATGTCCAATGGAACAAACCCTGTAGACTTTACTAGTTTAACATACTACTAAACGACAACTATCACTTCCACACAACCTAAACATAATTAAAAGAAAACAATATATTGATCAGTGTTAATGGGTCATTCTGTAACGAACTAAGACAAATGCACATAGTTATGTAAGTGAAAGCACGAGTAAAACTTTGCATTACAGGTAGCATCAATATCAGCAATTCAACACACATCATCACTTAAATATACATATCCACTGCAGATACTTATCTTACAACAAAATTAAACCAAAACAACTCAACATATCAATATCTACAATCTCCTTATAATGCTAATATCCGAACCCAATTTCTCCGCCATTACTCATGTTGTTTTACCCCTTTGCATAATTAGTACAGTCAACAGAATAAAATAACAAGAACCCATGAGTTAAACATCCGTATTCAACATAATTCGTTCTTAACAGCCGAATCATCAATCCCTACCCCAATCACATTCTAGGAAGCTAACTCTACACTGCTTCAATGTTTTACCAAACAATTAGCAGCATAATAGCAAAACCAACATTACATTAAAAAAAAAATCTACTTTACGTTAGTGAAATGAAGGTATAACAAACTATCTCTGCAGTCTTTACACACACACACCTGCTTCAATTGACCACGTCGCTTGGATAACAATACAATCTGGTCATTGAGGGCTTTCCAAGCACGAGCTTCAAAGCAAAGTTGAAGAATTTCTGTAACGGCCTTCCTTGTGCCGGCCACATCGCCGTTGAGTCTCATCTGCTTCTCCACATTCAACAGCACCTCTATTTGCGCATCCAGATTAGCTCCTCCATCCTGAAAGATCAAATCCAAATCACCAAATGCGCAGAGAGTTTGTTTATCAGTAATCTAATGATGAACTCTGAGATCTGAAACGAAAAAAAAAATCGCAAAATTGTACAAATGTTTACCATCTTCGACTTGAAAGCCGAGCTTCGAGCTGAAGATTTACGAAGAATTTCTATTGAACGTGAAAATTCTGCTGATTGCAGGATCTTCACCGTCTCACAAGAAACCCTAGGAGGCGCGAAGATAATTGTTGAAAATAGCAATTAGCAAATAGACCTCAGTCTCATTGGAGTTTTTTTTTATTTAAAGCAATAGGGCGGGGATTCTTCGCCTAACAGAGGGGTTGTCTGTCAAAATTACTTTAAGAGTTAATTGCAAGTTGTACGGCGAAAGATAGTTTAAATTTTAATTTAGATTTTTAAAAATTAAAAATTTTAATTTATACCCTCAAAGATAAAAATTTGTATCAATGTACACTCCCAAAAATAAAAAATATTAATTTACACCCTCAAATATAGAAATTTGTATTAAAGTACACTTAAAACTAAATTTGATAAATTATACATAGATCCCCTCATGTTTGTCACTTAATCATTTGAACCCTTTCACATTAGAATATTACTCCTACATTTTATGGCGTTTGTACACGTGTAACACCTAACCCTTTTTCGTTGATATCGGTTAATATAAACATTAAAAAATATGATTTTATCCTAATAAAAAATTATAATTTCTTATTATCTTTTATTTTGTGAGTTCAATATATTCTAAAGTTCAAAATTAAACTTATTATTTGAATGTCCAATAGAATATAGATATTTATACAATATTTTTTATATCCAATATAATATATCACTCAATGTGCAACATTTTATTCTATTAGAGATTCAAATGGTAAACTTGATTTTGAACTTTAGAGTATATTGAACCCATAAAATAAAGGGTAATATGAAATTATAATTTATTATTGGGATAAAATCATATTTTTTAACGGTTATATTAACAGATATCAACGAAAATGGATTACATGTTACACGTGCACAAACGTCATGAGATGTAAAAGTAATATTCTAAATGCGAAAGGGTCCAAATGATTAAATGACAAGCATAAGAGGATCTAGGTATAATTTATCAATTAGTTTTAGTTGCACATTGATACAAATTTCTATTTTAGATGGTACAAATTGAGATTTTTTATCTTTAGGGGTGCACATTGATATAAATTTCTATCTTTGAGGGTGCAAATTGAGATTTTTGATTTTTTGAGGTATACATTGATACAAATTTCTATTTTTGAGGATGTAAATTAAAATTTTTGATCTTTGAGGGTCTAAATTAAAATTTGAACTATCTTTCAGGGTATAATTTATAATTAACACTTACTTTAATGCCCTTTTACAAATTTACTTTAATGATTGTTATTTCCAAGTAATTGTAAATAATGGTCAGGCAAAAATATTTCTCTATCCTATGTAAAGTTTACATGGCAGTGATATCCTCTTAGTTAATTTTATGAGGGTTAATTACACTTTGACCCATTTGGCTATGACTTTTCACATTATTACTTTAACTATTATATTTTTTATATTGTCCTCTCAATTATTTAATTACTCTCACATCGCCCCAATTATTAATTTTACAAAAAAAATTATTTTGCCCCCAAACTATGCAATTTTAATTTTTTTACTTTGTCCTCACACATTAACAATTTTCATCAAAAAAATCGCGGACGTTTGATTTTGGAATGTGAAATTATTCAAGTAATTGAGGGGATAATGTAAAAATTCAATAGAAGATAATGTGCTTTGGTCATGCAAATAGTGTATATAAAGGAAGATAAAATTAGTTTCATTTGTTTAATAAGAAGAACAAAAGAATAGAGATAGAAAGGCCCCATCTGGATTTAAGGAAAATGATGATGAAAAATGAAAGTAATAGAATGTAAAATGAAAAAAAAGAAAAAATATTTTCATGCATATTTGTTTAGGATGAAAAAATTTCAAGGAAAGGAGAGAAATTAAAAGAAAACTACTTCACTTACCTAAATTGCCAAATAGAATAAAAAATTTCCTTTATATTACATTTTTTTTTTTGCTTTTGTCTAGAAGAAAAAATTGCAAATACATCAAAAAAATTATTGAAAAATGATCAACCAACCAATTAAATTCTAATTTAAAAGCTTACTTGACTTGGTTGACAATCCTAGTCTATTTTATTCATTTCTTCCACTTGTTAGATTTCTGGTAAGGAATGCGACAATTTTTGCATGTGTTACTTGTACAACCATCATTTATAATTTATTTACTAATTAGAGTATACGTGCATTGTACGTAAATTATTTTGAGAAAAATAAACTAAAATTCTAAATCTTTAGAAAAACATTTATTTAGAAGGGATAATTAGAGGGAAAAAAACATGTATTACTTGAATTTTCTCAAATATGATCAAAGGATTAAATGTGCATGACAGAAGGTTACTTATTCCAATAATTTTTTTGCAAGACATAAAAGTTTCATGAAAGAAGAGAAAAGGGGACCAAATGCAGGACACACGGAAAAAAAAAAAAGCATGGAAGAACGTAAAAAGCTCAAGATCTTGATTTAGACCGAGAAGAAACATATTAGAAAATCTCATCTTCTCATAAGTTGAGGCCTTCTTCCAGACCAACCCGATCCCTTAAGTCCACCAAATCACGATCGTTTTTTTTTTTAATGTTACCAAATAAGGGTGAAGAAAGGAGTTGTGGAAAAATATTGTTCCATGAAACAATTTAGAAGAAAACTATAGAGATTAAAACTTTTATTACTATAAAATGTAATTTATATAATTATAGAGCATTGGATTTCTTGTTGGTTTGCATAACTTGAAAGTTATCTGTACTACCATAAAATGTCAACAAAAATAAAAAAAATTGTTTGACTAAAATAACCTTGATAAATTCACTAATACCCATATTGTCTTTTTCAATTAATAAAAACACTAAAAATGTTGAAAGTTACTTATTGAGCTACTATTGTATTTTCAATAATGCTATATATACTGAACATGCCAAACAAAAAGAAGAGTGAAGCCAGCCATCCAAAAAAATAGGAGATAGAAAATCCTATCCCGAAACTCAACTCTATATTCGACACCTCTTGACCATGATAACTCATGTCGTGAGCATGATAGCAGAGATGATTTCATCTTTGCAATTACATCTATATCTATATTTCTAAATATCAATATCTAAGAAAAACTTTTGAATAGCTAAACTATCTTTCTCAAAAATGCATAATAACAATACCATCCACTCTTTAACATCCCTATTAATTATGTTTCCATTATTATTATTAGTAATGACGTAGTAATATCCACAATATATCTTCTTATTGAGAAACTAAAGAGACTGTATCTCGTCTACAATACCTAGAGAATAAGAAACTAATAAAAGACCCATTAACATTGTTGTCATTATTATTATTATTTATAACATGATAATTTACTCTCCCATTTTTCAATCACTACTAAAGTAACCCATTTAGTTACTAGAGAGACTCATCTCTCATTCTCTATATATAGTGAACAAACAAGTAATCTAAAGCTATAATCAAAAGTTATATTGTGAACAATGCTAATATATTTTAGGCATCATGAGATACAACGCAACATATATTGTGCTGAGAGTTTTATTGTAAAGAAGACAAATTATTTGTGGTGTGTTTCATCAGCAAATCTTGTTACTTGCTTTCTAGGAGAGGGCTTAAGAGTAGCCTCAATATGACAATACTATCTTATTCTTTGAATGAGAAATCAAGCTAGCAATTTTGAAAAGTTCCCTACCCAAAGCTCTAAATTTGTGTTATTAGCATTTCCAACATTGTTTTCATTTTTTTTTTATCAATTTTTATTTTGGGAGGACTAAGAGAACTTGAACCCTTGACATTAAGAAGGCAAGGAGTACATTATTTCATTCTATAGGATCAAAAGTCATTATCATTCCCATTAAAGTTATAGAAAAGCATGCTTGAATAATTAATGACAAAGATGTGGTACTACAGGATAAATCTTTACATGTTTTGGTGGTTTATATTCCTTATTTCCTCTACATAAAAGAACTTCATGGGCTATATATTTGAAATATATAATAATTTAATCCAAAAGGTTGTATGTTGGGCTGAGTTTTTCACTCTCAAAGGTATACCAATAACGTTCCTTAATTAATTTCATGCAATAAAATCATATTAGAAAAATTTTGGTCATGACTTGCTTGGAAAGTTCTTCTGTTTCTTGTATTTCAAAAACTTTTGAAATTGGAATCCTAGTATTGTATATTCAAAGTTAATTTGCTAATAACAGCTACTGAATACTTCTCTTTAAGAAAAAAATATTGTGTGTTTTAAGTCTTGGGCATGTTTAAACATAGTTGATAGCATAAAACAAAGATGATCGAAATTTTGAATCTAGAATATTTTAAGAAAACTTGTATAATATCAATAAATCCTATATGTAGTATTGAGAAATCGGAAGCTAAACTAAAATATCAATACCTTACCTCAGCAGAAATATTCAACAAAAAATTTATGTATTATTTTGAGAGAAAAAAAAGTGCAATAATATTGAAAAAGTAGGAAAGAAAATTAATGACCAGTACATTTTTGTAGTTTTTGTAATTAGTTTCAAGGGACCTTGAAACATTAATCAATTGGGCTTCTCCAAATGATGAAAATGTGGTAAACACTTCCCCATTATTTCTTGGATTGCATACTTTTCTAAGCATATTTCTGAATGTACGAATTTATACCTTGAATTTTTTTTACAAATATTAATTTGATTAGTGGGTGTCATGCGAAATGCCCAAGATAGACTGACTCATATTTTGAGAACTACACTTCTTAGCAGATTATCTTCTATCCAATGGATTGTTATGTGACACCATTTGGATCTATGTATTCAAAAAAGGATGCACTTGTTAATGTAAATCTAAAATGTTTAATTTTCTCCCCAATAAATTGAACTCTAGGGCGATGGTGATGGTAGATGAAAAGCAAACAAAGTAGAAGTTGCACTAGAAATAGATATATTATAATATATATATATATATAGATTAAAAACTAGGTTTAGAAAAAATAAAAATAAGAATTCA